AGACTTTATAGCTAGTTTATTTTTAGACCATTGATCGATTCAATTACGCGGAGTCACCGCTGACAATCTGACAAACTTTATATTTTTTTGTCTCTTAGGGGAGCTCAGAGCATAAAACTTCGAAACAATCTATGATTTACATACCTTTTAGTACACTTGCAGCATTTTATTCCCTTAACGTTTTAAATTGATGGGTTGGACCGCACTTATCAGCAGGCGTCAATATAGCATACTAAACGTGTTTTATATGGGATTTGTGCTACCGATAATTGGACCTCACAAGTTAACATGCAGGTGACATATGAACCAGGCCTAAAGCATAGAAAGTCTTGGATATTGACACCGTTTACTTTTTGTGTATTTATAGAATTGTAACATTTCTGCTACTGCTCTAGTAAATCATTTAGTGCTATACTGACGCAATTGTACTTCTTGTAATGTCACATAAATGGATTTGAATGGATTTTTGAATTTTATTTCAAATTTATGACGTGTCAATAAAACTTTGTTGTTCAAACGTTATTGTATTTTTACAGTATATATAAATTTAAAATTACTGACGATTTTTTCTTTAAACGTAAACACATCGATGGCACTCTAGAATAATGGCCTATCTCAAAATCATCTAATTCATCAGGAAGATAATTTAAAAACAACTGAAGTATGCTTCAGTTGTTTTTAAATTATCTTCTCACGTTCAAAGCAGAATAATCGTACAATGGTCAGCGTAGTCACTTGTTTATTTTAACCAATCAAAAAGCTCGATTTTTTCGCAACAAAATTTGGCACATCGGAATGCAGCGTGTTATAAGATTGATATAAACTATTTTGGTTTGAGTCACTATTCTTGAAAAGCAGCGACATGTTGCAGATGTGTTAATATATTGAACTCTTAATTGGTGGCGTGGGGTGTTTCACATTATTGTAAGTTTCTAGACTCATAAGTTTTTAAAATTGGAACTTACGGCGTCTGTCTTCAGGCTAGTTTCGTAAACGGGTTTGTAGTTCACAATATCACTGTAACAGGACGAACAAGTCGTACGCCTGATGTTAAGCGACACACGTGTCCGTAGCCGTTGCAGTGTCACTCAGAGCTTTCAATCGCAAACACACTGACACTGCCACTGCGACTGTCACCCTGAGACATAAGTTAGACAAGTCTCATGTGCCTGTAATTTTACCAGCACCCTTACCCTTCAAAACCGGAACGCAGTAATGCTCATATTACTGCCTGGTATCACAAATAGGTACCTAAGGTACTTCCCTGGATCTTTCATAAGGAGCTCTACTGCTACTAAAAAAATAATATTTGTATAGAAATCTAAGTGGGATCACCCACAGCAACACACGCATACAATTCACAAGTCTGTCGTTTATGCCGCCGATGTGGCGCCACTAGGGGCGTCCTTACAGCAATTTTGAAAAAAAAAATCATTCCACACCATTTGCCTAGGTGCCTATAATAAATCTTTAACATTACGAAGGTAAACATACCTGTATATTTATATTATGTACAAAATACTTGTTTCCACACTCGATACCGGTTTGTAATGAATCTGCTTGGTAAAAAATGCCTCAGTGTGTCGGTGGTATGGGATAAAAATTGAAATTTCAACTTACATATTCAATATATGACGCACTTTGAATACATATATGAATCCGTTTGTGTTCATATACAATGTCACATAATTTGTACTATTTCCTGCCACATATGATTTTTAAAAGAACTAATTTTGGAAATGCTTGATGAGTAGGTGTTCTGTATAAATGACCTTAAATTAATTTTGTGTTGCGACTTTATTTTAATTTGTAAATTTTTCTTATCAACCAACATTTCAGATGACCGACGGCAATAATACATGCCTATATCTTTCGTATTCTATGCTCATAAAATGCCCTATTTATTGTAACAGAAACCAAGCAGCTTGTAAGTTATCCTTGTTTACGTTGTGCGGAGAAAAAACGGAATGCGAGATTAATGTAGTCGGAATAATTTGTTATTCACCGTTCTCGGAATCACATAATGCGTACCTGCATAATTTAATTTGTACCGTAGCTAAATCAAAAAATTATTGGCACAGCAAAAAAAGTATTGTTCGTTTTGTTTTTGTACGGAAGTGTCAACATTATGTTAAGGATTTTGTTGTTTTGAAATGCTTAGTATTAAAAAAAGTATTAAAAAAACTTCCGTCTCTATATTGTGGGGTCGGCAGACTAAAGCACATAAGTTAAAAACTGGTTTATTTATTTAATATAATAATGGTTTGTTTGTCCGTTTTAATAGCAGTACAGCTCATTGGGAAAGAGTTCGTCCAGGGAAGTATTGCCACCTTACTTATTACTGCCGCCAAGCAGTAATGATCACATTACTGCGTTCCGGTTTTGAAGGGTAAATTACGGCACATGGGACTTGTCAACTTATCTCAGGGTGACGAGCGCAGTGGCAGTGCCCCTAAGAACTTTGCGATTTAAAGCTCATGAATGGCACTGTAACTGCTATGGACAGGCGTGTCGTTTACTTGGTATCATAAAAAATAAAAAAGCTTGTGACGTACTTTTCAATATTATCACATTGGTAACACGGAACAACGAACTTTATTTGTTGATATTAAAATAATAAAACATTTTTTTTCTTAGGCGTTTTAATCTGCCAATTCTAGAATTATCCGACCTTGAACACTTCTGGCTACCACAATATTAACTTTTTCTCTCTAACGTTTTGACGTAATATTTGTGTAACCAGTAGGTTTTATCATTGCCAGGGCAATAATATTCGTTTTCCTTGAATTGTCTGGTTTGCTTTATGACTCGGAGTGCAAAGGGTTTTCCCATTTAGGTATGTCACATAAAGTAGGCTAACGTTAGATATTACGGAATAGTCAGTCCACTTTATAATTGAAGATAAGACTTTTCTTTCGACGTCACTTTCTTTGCAGATATCTAAGCACATACGAATGTTATAGATTCATAAGGGAATCTGTGAGAAAGGCACCAGTATATACCGATGTTATATATAGCAGCTTTACTGGAATCACCGACAGACCTTAGAGGCATTTTGATTATACCGAATTGACATTTTAAGTAATAGATCGTCAGTTCAATATTGACTAGACATGTATAACGCGCCACCGCCACAGACGTTTTTTCCACACCGCCGCGGTGCCTCCGATGAACCGGGACGTGGCGAACATTTCCTTTATATTCAAGAAGTATCAACTTGTTTATTAATTAATTACTCTATTCCAGTACAGTATTTCCCTACAATTAAATAAATTATAGAACGTATACTTACTTCTTAATAGTAGATTTAAATTAAGATCATTTATTTTTAGGTGATACTTTTTTACAATCACTGATTAACTTGATTATTTATAATAACAGTACCTACAAACCGGCTAAAGACAAGTTTAAAAATATTAATTATAAAACATAAAAATAAATCTGAGGGTAATAATGTTTTAGTGTTTTATTAAACACCTGAAAAATATATTCTACGCCGATCGCGCCGCCGCTACATACTCGAATACTGCCGTCCACTAACTAAAATGCGGCTAAGTGACAAATGGTCAAATAACCGTTTTAAATAGCAAAAAGTAGAGCACAAAATTTTGTTTTAAAAACAGTTAAAATTAGGTAACGTATTCGACTTAGCGGAACTTACCCTAACGACGCATAGCTGAAATATCATTAAAGAATTTCAATATTCTAATACTGCCACCACGCGCGTCGGCCCGGGGCTGCCCGTCCCGGACTCGTCCGTTTCGCGAGCTCGACAATACAAATCGGCGCGATTGACATCACGCACGGGCCGTGGGAACGAACCCTATAGTGACTTAAGCTTCGGTAATGTTTATAAGTATAGTGTTTTTCCATTACTCCGCCTCCGGTCCGACTTTCTACCTATACACGAATCTTATGGTGGACTCGTTAGACGTTCAGTTTGTATGAACTTTAACGTGGCGATAATAGGAAGGTAGTAGTAGGCAGTAAGCCCTAAGCGTTGGTTACACACTAGATTTTCCGCGCAAGTAAAGTGTAGCATAAAGCGTGTTCGTGTTTATCATTTGTCTCCTCCCTAACTGCCGCATCTGGCGCTTTTGTTGTAATTAGACGTATGATCTTATTTCATTTATTTCATTAATTCCAGCAATCGTCGCTTTTATATGTATTTATAATAAAAATTTGAATCATTGTCGTCTAAATTTATTGTTTTATTTTGATTCACAAAGATTAGTTCTTGTTGAAAAACCCTTTATAACAATGTTATAATTAATTAATAGAACTAGTTTGAGATGAACTGGACACATGAAGTGCTGAACCGAAAATAATTAACCTAATAACAGGTTTTGAAATTATCAAAATATTTGTATTCTTTGATCATTATCATGAGTATTATTCGAACAAAGTATATCCGATGATTATCCATGCTGATCATAGTTTTGGTTCTATAATTTTTGACTCAAAATTACAAATAGTGATAAAACTAAATAAACGCGAAGAAAAATCTTTGTGAAAACGTTTAGTTTATGACTATTTTAAGATAGACATTTGATACGTTTCGATACGTCTCGATATTGGTAGCGTTTTGTTGTTCCAATTTATTTTAAAAATATCAAGATTATTAAGGCATATTTATCAAGACAATTATCGTGACAGATAACTATCCCTGCGAACCCTACCTAACGCTAGTTACTACGTGAAGGAAATAAGATTTTTTTCTCTTTTCTTATAACGGGACGAACAAGTCGTGCACGTGATAATAAGTTACACGCCTGTCCATAGCAGTTGCAGTGCCACTCAGAGCATTAAATCTCAGAGATCTGAGGGGCACTGTCACTGCACTCGTCACCCTGAGACATAAGTTGACAAGTCCCATGTTCTTGTATAATAGGTAAGGTGGATGTACTTCCCTGGACGAACTTTTTCACTTTTACTCTCGGCGAAGGACAACCGAACAGACGGGCCGTTAGAATTGAACACAATAATTTTGGTGATTTCAGGCAACAAGCAGATCGCGGCTCTAGTTGTATGGGCGCGCGATATTCCACATTTCGCGCAGCTGGAGTTAGAAGATCAGATCCTGCTCATCAAAGCGTCCTGGAACGAGTTGCTGCTGTTCTCCATCGCTTGGCGGTCCATGGAGGTTGGTCACTAGAATACTACCCCCAAGGTGATAGCTGCAAACCAGTGCTTTGCTTTTGGGTACAGCTCGCACTAAGCTTGGACCTTTTTCGCTTGCTGCAGCACTTACAAATTGTTTTGTGTTTCATTAGTTAGACATAAGCTGTATATGTATGTTTATTTTGTATGTTTCACTGTCAATTTTTCTTTAATTATCTCATATTCAAGTGTGCACTTGTGAGAACATACTAAACGTATCATCTATATAGAATATATAATAATACCCAAAGTAAAACAAAATGGCTTATTAATAACGCCGCGTCTGGTTTTTTACGTAACGTTTTATTTATGTGCAATAATAAATGGTTTTTATTTTTTATTGTTTATGTTAGTATTTTTGTCTTGTTGCGCTTATTTGTAAAAAATTACAAAATAGATCCATAACACTTTTTGCTTACTTACGCTTTTAAACTAAAAACTTACGTTGTAATATCACACAGTTCTACATATGTTTTAATGTTTCAGTACCTGGAGGACGAGCGCGAAAACGTGGACGGAACAAGGACCTCCGCGCTCCCGCAGCTTATGTGCCTTATGCCGGGTAAGTGAATTCAGATATCAACACCTCCTATGTAATCTACTGTAAATCATGACAGCAGTGCATTTTTACAGAAATCACTTTATTTTTATGTAGTGCAATTGGCTTATGGCATTGACTGCGCTAACGGATGAATGGGCCAACTGAAGGCTCTTAATCCGTTAAAACTAAAACTAAACTATAAATAAACTAAGTAACGCCTGAGGGCGCCCAAATGGGCAAGGACCTCGGCTCAGGGCGCTACTGGGGACTTCCGCCAGAAGGGCAGAGCTGTAGGAGAGAATCTACTGTTGTACGTGCTGAAGCGGGGGGCTCCACGGCCTTGCCGGCGAGGTCAGTTGGTACGTGAGTGAAAAAGAAAAAGTGGCGAGAGTGATAGTGTAAATCTCTCTATTTCGACTTCTATTTTGAATGAAAAGCTTCTTGACAGTTCGGAAAATTCTAAAGAAGCAAGTAGTCATGAGGTAATGCCAAATATTGTCACAAATAATAACACCACTGATATAACCCTACCATGTTCTGTGACATCTATGTTGAATGAAGACCCTATTGAAGGTACTCACCCTGAACTATGTGGTAAAGAAATTACAGGTGAAACGATTATAGTCAGTATCTTCCAGATGTGACGCCAATGCCGTCTCCACATAGTGACTTTTTTTGAGTATAAATTTACCACTTCTACGCATCAATCAAACTTATACTAATTTTCTAGAAATTTTCTAAAGTTGCGATGTTCTTGCATCCAGTACTACAACAGAGTCTGTTCACCGCAGTTAAATGATACCTCGGGCCAAGATTCATCTGTATGTGCGTCAAATGACTACACACGAACTGGTACAATGAGTCGAAAACGACCACGGCGTAGTGATGAATAGTAATAGAAACACATAAAAGAGAGTATTTAAAAAACTTAGATAAGCTTTTACAGCAACCTTGTCCTGCTACTTGCCGTCTTAAATACTTTTAAAAATTGAATGAACACGAATGTGAACGAATTTTTATGACCTTTTGGCAACTTGGAGATCAGTCTAGACAATGGGACTACATTTCTAATTATACCCAAGTAGATGACACTCAATGACCTTCTATTTCAAACTCTACGTCAAGACGCAAGAAAACAGTAACGGATTCCTTACCCTTCACTGAATCTAACTTTAACGTACCCTGCCTTTGCAGGGTACGTTAAACGCAAATACTTTTATTTGTATGTAAAACAATGTTTCTGAACTCGGATTCTGTCGGAGAAAGAACAGTTTAAACAGCTCTATCGAAATTGTGCTTAGGTGGTGGGTCTATATCTCCTGATTGTCGTGGGTGAACCACAGATGTTATTATAGACAATGAAAAGGAGTAATAACACATGTAATAACGTTCCAGCCTGTTGAACCTCACTATGTGCGCAAAAAGTCCGCAAAACTATACTTAGACGGCGATTTTTGATTTAGATTTATTTATTATCTTGTAGACTTTACATTATTATATATTATAATATATTGTATTACAAGAATCGTTACAATAATAAATTAATAAATGTTACATTAAAAATAAATACAAGTATCCAGTACAAGTTTTGTATTATGATGATTTATTGTAACTTTAACGTACCTAGTTAATATAATTATGGAAATAATGTAGGAACATATTAAATAATATAATAATAAAAATGTCAAAACATGATTATGTGAGATAAAGACAGCCTGTATAATATATTTATTTATTTCGAGTTCTTAGGTTTTCGCGATTGTTGCACATAGGAAATGAAACTATTTTTCCGGATTTAAATCGCGTATATTTGTTTTTTCAAACAAACCGACGTTTCGGGCCCTTTACAGGTCCCATGGTCACGGTTAATATAATATATAATAGTCAACCGTGACCATGGGACCTGTAAAGGGCCCGAAACGTCGGTTTGTTTGAAAAAACAAATATACGCGATTTAAATCCGGAAAAATAGTTTCATTTCCTATATTTATTTATTATTTACTTTTAATTCCTCACAAGAAATTTGTATTAAATTTGTTATTTATTTTTTATTAGAGTGTATGTCATTATGTAGACTAAATTATGTTAGGTAAAGTCTGAGTCTAAATAATATATAGTGTTTTTTTCAATGGGACTGTATGGGAAAATCTGAAACCATTGCGATATAAGGAACCATGTCTTTGGAACCATGAAGACTTTTTTAAACAATTTTGGCAGTCATTTTTGGTCAAGTGTGAGTTTTCCATAAAAATGAATAAAATTGACTACTCTTCTTTTATGCTAATAGACTTAGTTTCTTGTAAGGATGACTTCATTGTATCGGAAAAAAATAGTCAGTTTTATTCATTTTGAAGAAAGCTGAATTAAGGAACTGAATCTACCAGCATTATAAATAAATTCATTATCTTAATAAATTATTATCAAATAAAATTAACAAAATTACCAAACGAAATTAAATTATTACAAGGACATACTTTTAAATTAAAATTGACAAAATGGCTTTTGACGCATTGCTTCTATAGTAATAAAGAATACTTAGAATTTACAAATTCATTTAATTAATTAGAAACTATAGAGACTAAAGAAACATTGAATCCCATTAATATTTGCACATCTGCTTGCAAGTACCTAATTTTACTTAAGACCTTTGTAATGACTGTATTCTGGCAAATAAACGTATTCTATTCTATTCTATTCTATTCTATTAAAAAAAAGTAAATTTTATTCATTTTGTATGTAAAACATTTTATGAAATATGACCATTCTTCGCTGTCCCGATTGTTTTTGTCCCATACAATGAAAAGTGAGCCGCTCAGCACTAAAAAATTTTTTATGGACAACTCACACTTGATCAAAAAATTGAGTTGCCAAAATTGTTTTCACAGAAAAGGATTTAATACACCCTAAGAAAGTTTCCTTGTATCTTCTATCGTTTTCCTCATACTGGTCCATTAAAAAAAAAACACTCTGTATATACTTTTGTTTCGTCACAAGAGTTAGTGTTCATTTTTGTTATTTGAGCTAGTTCATTAATTAATATGTCTAATAAAATTTATTTAAGTGAACACGTCGTGGTTATTATTCATTATTTTGTTACACATGCGACACATTTTTTAAGGTATTTCAAATTTTGCACCCAGCATAAGGTCGTATATCGAACATACGACTGTATTCCCGTTGACCATGTCAATGTGATTAGTAGCAAAACGTTGTAACTATGAGATACGACCTTTTTACAACGAGCATAAAGTCGTAAGTTTTTATTTTCAGCTATGTTTTCGTAAATATGTGTATTTATTGTATTTATAACCTCTGTACATGTTCCCTAGCCAGCTATAGTTGTTAATGTCTACAGTTTTGCGCAATATACATATGTTTTAAAGAATGAACAATGTAAAAATCTTTTTAAAAATGTCTCCCCTGAAAAGTCATATCTTTAAACATATGACTTAATGCGTGAGAGGTGTCGATATAACATTATATTATATTATTTGTTGAAATTTTGTAAAATTAAGTACTAAAGAAAGCCAATTTTATTTGCAAACAAATAAAGATTCCGTATCAGATTAATTATCTATTTTAGTGATAAAAACAGGTAGGTACTCAAAGCATTTTTATATCGTCATTAGTTTTTATCACATGGAATGTACCGATGTTTACCACTCTATTTCTATTTTATCAAATGCATGACAAATCAAAGTGACTTTCAAATGTTGATAACCTTTAACTTCACAGGTATCATGTAAGCATGACATAGTTGTATTTTATAAATAAACTTTTAGAACAAAGGCTTTTTCACCTCACTAGCTTCGAAAGGCTTTTTTTCTCATTAGATATCTGCGCGCAAAAGCGTTTTTTACACGCTAGCGTCGACTTTTTTTAAAATTCGAATTTGACGATGGACTACGGTGCATATAACTTTTTCTTTTATGTAATACAAATCCGTTGGTATATTTTATTCTTATTATTGTTAACAATATATTGACAACGATGACTAATTTTTTACCGACTTCAAAAAAGGAGGTTCTCAATTCGACCGTGTTTTTTTTTTGTATGTTTGTTACTGCCACCTTACCTATTTCTGCCGCCAAGCAGTAATGTGTTCATTACTGCGTTCCGATTTTGAAGGGTAAGGGTGCAAGTGAAATTACAGGCACATGGGACTTGTTAACTTATGTCGCAGGGTGACGGGCGAAAAGGCAGTGCCCCTCAGATCTTTGCGATTTAAAGCTCTGGAATAGCACTGCAACTGTTACGGATAGGTGTGTTACTTATAACTGCCTCTGTGGCCAAACAGTAATAATGCTGGACTGCCACGCAAAAGGTCTCGGGTTCGATTCTCGAGCCGGGAGAAATATTTGTATGGCCTACATTTATTTTTCTCATGAGTTTGGGCCTCATTTGTGTTTGTCTATGTGTGTGTCCATGGCACCCGCGACACAGAGTCCCCCAAGTGCGGGGCTATGAGTATGTACGTTAAAAAAAATAAAAATTGAACACCAGACGGACGACTTGCTCGTCCTGTCACTTGATATTATATTTAAAAAAAGATATGTATATTCTCATTCGAGCTTCGCCAATTTCGTACCTTTAAGATTCTCTTCCATTCGTTATCAATTTGCGGCTCACGATACTATCTGAATAGATAGCGTCGACATAGAGCATAACCTGTCTGTCCATTGATTAACTGGACTGGATTGTGCTGGGGTTTTGTATGTGGTGTTAACATTTAGGTTTTTAAGAGCTATGAAAATTGCTTTAATTTATTTAGTTTTCTTATTGCGTGCCCAACAGTGAGGCATAAATAGGTTGTTGATTGATATCGTACTGCTTGTCTTTTTATTTCTGTGCCCGCGTTAACTTAGTTTCTGTTATAAATTGTAGTGCGTTAATACTGTTGGGTAATTTTCCGAAAATTTTCAAATAGTGTGAATTTCTCCGAAAAATTGCTGAAAAATTGGAAAAATTTGAATAATATAATTTTGAAGGCGCATATAATGTTATACGTTTAGAAACATATTTTGAAGCTTATTTTATAAACTTGTTTATTTTATAATTCATGCTAAATAAAACTTAATAGAAAGACGTGATTTAAAATTATTTCACAACAGCAAAAAAGTCCTTCAAAACCACACCACCATCTGTTATTGTTGGCTCCATCGTTTTCGTTCAGTAACTTCAACTTTTGACAGTTGTCAACGTCAAAATGTGGAAAAATATGATTTGTCAAAAAAGGGAAATTTTCACGACTCAACACTAGTTTTTAATAAATAATTTTATTTGTGTGTCGTTCCAGGCATGACTCTGCACCGTAACTCAGCACTGCAGGCGGGTGTGGGGCAGATCTTCGACCGCGTACTGGCCGAGCTCTCAATGAAGATTCGCGCGCTACACGTCGACCAAGCGGAGTACGTCGCGCTCAAGGCCATCGTGCTGCTCAACCCTGGTGCGTACCAAAACACTACATCACACAAAATTATTCTACCCCTTTTCCTTTCTCGTAAATTAGGCTCCTCAAATGCAATATTTAAGGTTTTCATAGATACTGGCTATTGCTTAGCCTGTAATAAGCTTGTGTTACCTGTGGGATAAGGAGGTCCTGGATTCGATTCCTGGTAGGACTTATTTGGACAATTTTTCAAATTGTTTCTGGTCTGAGGTACTGGGAAGTGCCCCAGATTGATTTCCGTTGCTCTTGTACTCATAGTACAGGGAATCTCCTAGTTTGATACCAGGCAATTGGTGTGGTTATCTAGCACATTATTATTATTATTTATTGTAGACTCTTGCCTCCTCCATGACCCAAACAATTAAATTTAAATATTTAAATGGGAGGAGGCCGTATTACTCGACAATGGCACTGTCGACCTTGGTCAATAACTATTATTATTAACACTAAGAAATTACGAACGAAACCGATATTGACTCTTGTTTTCTTTCAGACGTGAAAGGACTGAAGAACCGACAAGATGTTGAAGTTCTTCGTGAAAAGGTAATTATAACTTACACATACTAGATGTGGTCACTATTACAACAGCCGATTATGTAATACATTATTCTTACGCAATGTGTAACTACTTATCGAACAACTGTCCAAACTGCTGTTGTTATACTGCTATTCTGCTGTTGCGATTGCGTCGCGCGAACCAGTATGCAATAGCCAATAGGCAGTGAGAGAGAAATTGCGCTAATCAGATGATTGGACGGTTTGCAAATCTTACGATTTTAATCTTTCAGTGAACAACATAAAGTTCTCTTTCTCATTAGGTTTGTATATATAAGTACCAAGTACCAACACGCAAAATAGGCGCTTTGTCGTCGAGTTGCGGATACCAGCCCGTTGCACGTCGTAGGCTTGTATAGTCCATGAACTACGAACTATGAGGAATATATTCCCTACACTAACTGACATGAACTAAGTTCGTCTTGCACGGTTTTAATAGTTCATTGTTCTTTTTAGTTCAGTTTAAACTAGGAACTGTCTGCGTTGATAGTTCACCCGTCTTTTTTACAGTAGGAGCGGTACGAGCGGGATAAATAGCGATTTTTTACTAGTTTTAGTACAAGTTCAAGTGGGATGCATGATTGAACGTTCCCAGCTCGTTCTAAGTCTCTAATAGGTATCTACATTATGTACATATATATATACAAGCTTCCAAAAAAAGTAATATTTGTTTGGTAGGTATCTGCATGTATAATATCAACCGACGTGTACGAGTATATGAAATAGTTGTACCTAAATATTGATTTTTTAAACACACCATTCTAACTAAAATTCTTAAAAGTTTTAAATGTGAAATATATATATTATGTACGCCTAAATTCTAAAAATAAAAAGTAAGCACGCTCACGAAAAATCAAGCTATGACCAGTAATTGACTGATTTAATCTTATTTCACCATTAAGTTGCTTTTTTATCTAATTTGGGTGTAAATATTCAGGACTTAAAATAACAAATATAGTTGGATTCCCTCAAAAGTTACGAAAATTGCCTTAAAAACAGTTTAATTAATTATTGACAAACATCCGTTTTTGTCATGTCTACTTAATACACATAGGGAACTATGTTGTTGATAATTATACAAATAGGTTAGGATTGCTATGCTCAGTTTTTTTTCATGACATTTAACTATTCATCCAATTTATGCAAAATTGTATTTTCTTTCACAATTTATTGATATAACTGTAGATAACAACTACACGACTATTTAAAATTTTACGTAAACTGGCAACTCTGCAAATGTAATTAAATAATCTCAGTACAGAGTACTAAAAAAACCGACCTCAAAAGTACGAATTACGTCTATTTGCTAAGTTTTATTGAAATATTCCCTAGTTCGCCACTATGCAGGACTTGACACTGGAGATAATAAAAATCGGTTCTCACTACTCAAAGTATATCGAGAAAAAAACGCCTTGAATTGGAGAAATAGCAAAATCAACCATTAAAGTAATTGCTTCTAAATTAAAGTTAGGCGCTATTTATAAAAATGAATCTTCATGCGTGAACAGCCACCCTTTGAGGTGGATGATTTTCTTCAAAATGAGAACATACAGACAAATTGAGAACCTCCTCATTTTTTGAAGTCGGTTAAAAAAGACAAGACTACAGTAATGTTTTTTTATGAATTTCTTAGTTGTTCTCGTGCCTGGACGAACACTGCCGGCGGTTACACGGCTCCGAGGATGGTCGTTTCGCAGCACTGCTCCTCCGACTTCCAGCACTTCGCTCCATCTCGCTCAAGAGTTTCGAGCACCTGTACTTCTTCCACCTGGTGGCTGATGATCTCATCGGCGGTTTCATTCGTGAAGCGTTGCGCAGTCATGCGCCGCCAATTGACGCCAATATGATGTAGACGCCGAGGTAATGACATCCGTGCTAGCTCTACGATATTGTGAACTGATGTTGAGGAATATTGAAGCATTTTATGAATTTTGAACTTAATTTTTTAAGCAATGTTTACGGCCCTAATATTACCTCATGAAAAGTTGACGTGTGACAATTTTGATGCGACGACTTAATGTCAAAACGCATTATTTGTGAATAAGATCGATCAAGGGTCTAACACCACTAAGGTCACGCGTTAAAACCGCGACTACATTTAAAACATTTTTATGTTACGGCGGGTCCGAACCACTGTTCATTACAAAACGTTTTCATTACAAATATTACAACTGCTATGCGATATGTAGTTCACAATATTTCGTAGTGATCCAAGAAATATAGAGCGGCCTTTTTCTGTAGTGTATTAATCTGAATTACCATGAATTGAATGAACGATTGCAATATTTCAGATTTTTGTATGTAATAAATGCCATAAAATATTAAGAGAGCTGGCCTAGAGGATGTGAACAGATAGGAAGGAAAAGTGAAATACAACTGCTTTTGAGGCCGTTTACGTCGTAAATCTAGGAACGGTTTGCTCACTTCTTAGACAAATCGTTATATTTATAGGCTCCTAGACGCAGCGAGTCAATCGAGTATGTAAATAATTGTTACTATATGCATTGACTTACAAATAAATAAGTCAATGACTATATGTCAATAATTAAGTAAAGAATTGTAAAGGCCGTTCTACATTTTTTAATAATAAGCTTTATAGGGGGTTATTTATACCTGAAATTCCATGAGATGATTCCACCCCTGATATTGAACACTTTTTTACGGAAGCCATATCCCATTAGCAAAAACAAATTAACAACAAACCCGCGAGTAATTTGTCTTAACATCTACCCGCAAACCTGAAAAGCGTTACAAATTACAAACTATGATATTGGAACTCATTTTACAGAGAATTGTACAATCTAGAGGAATAGAAATTGTAATTCGATTATATTATTGGATATCGAATTTCGACAATATTTTGTATTTTTTTTTGTTAGTTTATATTAGTGACAATATTATCCAATTGAAATTGTAATATTCTGATATTCATAATATGAAATAAATGCTATTCAATTTTTATGAGAGAAAATAATTCGCGAATCGTGTACAAGTTTCTCAGGGATGTCGTTCAGTATCATTGATAGTCACCTCATGAAATTTCAAACGTGATTTGATTAGCACCCTGTATTCTGACTTCAGAACGAAAAAAGGCATAAAGTACGCGTAGTTGTGCCTTTTTTCGTTACGAGGGCAGTATTTGTCAGCACACTATAATTTATTAACCCTCGAAGTTAATGTATCATATGCATACCAATGTCGGCCTGCGCCGAATAATAATAAGCTGACGGGCAAAGCGAGGCTACGATTAGTCGGAGGCGTCCATTGAAACCGACGCTCTCCTAACCGGACGTTCTCATTATGTTATTTACATGATATATTCATATAGCTCTTTGTAGATGATATTTGGACAAGAACAAGGCTTACTTACAGGCAGGTCCAATGTAAACTGTATTATAGGGGCTTTTGAACTTTAAATTATTTTGAATAAACAACACGTCTTCAAGGAACAAATTTGCATAAATATTATAAAAGGATTAAAAAGTTGTCTGTTTAAATCTGTCTTGTTAATGAATGGGTTGTGTTTGCATTTCATTATGTATTACAGTCAAACAATTCGTAACTTAGTTTGATCGATCGGACTCAATAAGCACGACCCAGATACTACAAACTTCAAAAAAACATCAATAAATGTTTAAATATCATCTAAAAAAAACTTATGAGCTTTATATACGGTACAATAAAGTTGACCTGTCTAGTGTCGTATTCTAGAACTCTACTCAATGCTCAAGTCAGGATTGCACTGGAAATACTACCCTAATGGCAGGGACTTGAGTATGATTTCGAGTGCTTTAAACCATACTCAAATCCTGACTTGAGCATTGAGTAGAGTTCTAGAATACGACCATTAGTGAAGAGCCCCCTGAAGTGACAAGTTAATAACGCTTAGGTGGCAAAGTCAATAACGCAAAGCACGTTGAACTATTCGGCTTGAGTACTATTCCGTGTGTATGACATGCAAAGTACGCCGTATTTCATAAAAATTTTTTGGTCTTTGTTACAATCACATAGATATGGGATGCAATATGATCATTTATGAATTAAAATAACGTCTTTGGTTTTATCTGTTCGATATCTTTGACAAAATTAAGTAGTGAGAGAGCACATCCTATAAGGAGGGCAAAGAAAAAGCTTCCCCACATCGAGAGCCTAGCTCTTATTGCTAATTGCTAGTATTCCAAAGTATTGGGCTATATTAAAAAATCTGCGATTATTTTTTATTATCTTTCACAAGTTTGATTTTTTTTTTTCATAATGTAACAATATCTTTATTATTATTATAATGTAGCAATAATAACATAAATAAACGTTACATATTGGTAAAAATAAATCACCAAAACCAAAAAAACTATTTCTTTGTAGTAAGATAAATTTGAGATTGTAACAAAACCTATAAAATTTTGAGTTCACCGATGTTACGCCAGTTGCGCGTCGAGAGTGTATAATCGGTTACATGATACGTAAAAATTAAAATTTTTATACTCTACGTGATTCCATCAAGGCTTTTTTAAACTCTTCCTCGTGATTCAACTTGAGTCGTACGTAGATAAACCTACCTGATCCTTATTTGGTTCTTGACAATGTTCAAATAACCGTATTGTCATACTGTAACCGAATATACATAAAACAAGTTAGGTAATGAAAATGGGGCCGCCTCTATTATTATTATAGTGTTAATAGTATAAACATAGCTAGATGTTCATTTACTAGGGAATTCTATTCGTGTAGGTGTCAATAGCGAATTAATATAATCGTTAAGAATATAAGCGTAATTTTAAATATTTACCAAATCTCTTCAAAGCACAGTTAATGTAATTTACTGATGAAGTCTCAAGTGCCCTCTAGAAATTGTTAAATTGCGAAAAATATTTTCGTCTAATAAAGTGTAAAAGTGTAAAGTTTATTTTTAAATCAAAAAATCTATAAGTAACTATAAGAGAATGAGATACAAAGATGCTTCATTAACAAATACAGATATAAACTTGGTGCTTCTTACGCATTATAAATGTGCATATAACTTACGTTACTGAAATTTTATTTTCCATTATTATATAACTTTGTCTAGATGTAGAAAATTTATGTATAACTGTAAATATATCTTGCATGTAAAATGTAATTCTTATTATGTTCTTTATTCGTAATTTATAACATAATTTTGTACCTCACCGACCGTGTGTGGCGGTGAAGAAAGGCCTAGGCAAGTTGTTCAAAATCATCTTTATTGAAATGTGAACTAAACCAAGGCTTGGGCCAGTAATATTAAATAATACTGATAAAATGGGGATGTCTTGGTTGCTAAGGTTTATTTCTAGCGTAATTACCTTAGTACGTGACGAGTATATCGATTATTTCGGGAAAGGTAGGTTAAAGCCAATTTTATCAAAAATGAGATTGATTTAGTTTGGTTATGGCATATGTTATATGGCACATATTATTTTTATGGCAATTTATTCTGTTTTCTCATTTTTGTAACTATCGAAAAAACTGGCTTTTCTGCCTAAACATAGTTATAAGAATAAAAGAGTTCCGCTATATAAATAATTAAAAAACTTTTGTTAAACACCCGCGCTAACTTTGGGCCCTTTCTTCCCCTAATTATCGATATATATATATATACAGCGATTTTTGGGCCTAATCTGGCGCTCGCAGTGTTATGTAAATGTGTCACGGACGAGAGTAATACCGTTTGCATTACATTCAGCCGCGATAATTTTCTTCCGATCAAAGCGAAAGAGAAGCTCTAATAACCACTAACGCAATTAACCAGTATTAACGCGACTCTTCAAATGTATGATGTAATGCAATCTCTCGGATCCAATAATGTTTGTAAATAAATGTGATGTTTCCTGTTAAAATGTATTCAACTTTTTGCTAGTGTTATGTGTTTTCTTTCGATTTTGTTCAGTATTACAGTGAGAATAAAACATACGGACTAAAATAACGTCGGTAGCAAATAAATAGATTTTTAGATGTTTCAGTATATAATAGAGCTCAATTTAGCTAGAAGCAAGCGTTGGCAAATGCAAAAGGCGTTGAATCTGCCTACACATACACAGGAAATTGTTGAGGATAGAAATATAGCTGTTGAAAAATTATGGAAAAATGTTGAACAATTTGATATTATTCTATAGATGGGATGAATTTTATGCTGGAGGTGTTGCAGCGGTTGTGAGATGATTTATTATGATGTTCACTAAATATCTGACTAAATATGTAAGTTATATTTTTTTGTATAGACATAGCTTTAAGATGTATGTGATTAAAATATTACATCATAAAAATTTGTCTTAATTAGATATAATTTCATATTCGTATTATGCAGCAGATTGTTTCGAAGGCACAGCCACACAAAAAGTCATAAAATATAATAAAATTTATCACTTACAATAACAAACTATCAAAACTTTACACTAATGCTTATACAAACTAGAGAACTCCATTTCTACTGTAAATGCTTACTAGTTAATTGTACGTATATTGTTATTTTGGACTCATTTGTTGAAATGGGATGCTTCCATGGACTCGAATGCGTCTAATTCAACATTGATTCTGCAACAAAGGATCATTGTCATCATGACGTATTACTATATGAATCATAACTTCATGATGCGCAACTTTGCAGCAACATAAGGGAAAAACAAAGCAACAAATAACTGAATACGATTAAAGGTATTTTATGAGAAGTTAGGTAGATTTAAAGGTCTGTAATCTCCACTCACTTCTGGAACTGTGCTCGGATGTCGTTGACTTTGGAGGGGTGACAGACGACCGCGATCTTGCCCTGTGCGGGGTCGAAGAGCGTGGGCAGCCACCGAGCCGATGCCGCGTGCGCTGCCTGCGGAGTTACCGCTGCTATTGCTTGCACCAGGTCCCTGTGGATATTATCATTTGTATAATAATGTCAACCCCCGTAGCATAACTACGCATGAAAGCGCTTATTCCAATTTTATCGCGCGAGTCGCGACTTTCATGCGTATCCATGCTATGGGGGCTATTTGTAAAAACGAGACAAAGAAAATAGTACAGTTAAAATTCTACGCTACGCCGCTTACGATAAAAACAGGTCAGTGTCAAGGTTGATGTGAAGTCAAGTGACTTATACGATATTATCTAGAACAAAAATATTACAGGGTTTAATACCATATGGACGCACTATTTTGAATGGCTTCCCATGTTTTTTTTTGTTGTAAAAAAGGTATACGCACAAATTTGATCACAACGTCATCCGATAATATGTGAAGATGTTGAGGATAGAGCATGCTTGTTTAGAAAGTGCTCTATGACTTGATGACTTAATTCTCTCGTTCTAGACAAGTTTTATTTACTATTATAAAGTAGTCTAGCAGTTAACCATATTTGAGTTGAAATAAGCTGATCTGAATCTTATTTGGAATATGGAATTTTTGAAATACACGGACCTGCTATAAGTTTCACCGCTGCGCTGAAGAAAGTTGACCAGCGACTGGGCAACTACATCGGCTGGACATTTCTGATTTTCCACCACTTCGAACAGCGCCGTGCTCTTTGCGGACTCGAACAAATCATCGTCAAATTTGCTATCATTTAAGAAGTCCTCCTGTGCACACGAACATAATTTCTTTTGATATAGATACGAAAGATACGTAAAGGTGAGCTAGTTTTTATTTGAAGCAGTTTTATATCCAACAATCCATTTGCTTATAGGCATTGACTTACAATTATATGGACGTCGGGTCCGCGCTAAAAAGTGTCCGAACTTATAGGGGGTTAAAATCGTATACAGAGCGTCATTCACGCTTTAGTCTTCGTTTGTTCGACTGACAGCCAAGCAAGTAAAATTAGACAGTACTGCGATGACATTACAATTTAAATTCAACGTTTTAGCTTTTTCATATTCCTTTACATGTCACTACGTTTAAATAGGTTGACTTGGGATATTTTTTTCGTGTTTTGTGTATTAGACCCGTCGTCCATTTATTTGTAAGTCAATGCTTATAGGCTACTGTTTTTTAAATTTTTAAGCGGTATACTTGATCACAATAAAATTATTTGACAATAATATTCTACAAACAATTTTCCTGTGTGATATGAATATGTATGGCACTAACAATGATGGACTTAGCCTTGGTGTAGGCGGGAACTGTGTTGGTGGCCTTGTAGAGTGAGAAGACGATGCGCCCTTCGTGCGGCGAGGGGCGCACGTTGTACCCGTACGCGAGGCCTGAGCCGCGGATCAGCCGCCACATTGGACCCTGCCAAACATTAGGTCGGTTATATTCGTCACCAAACAAGAGACCAAATTTGACAGCTAAAGAAGGCGATAGTATGTAACTTTGAATGCGATCAACGAAACAATAAACAAACAATTATTAGCATAATTGAGTTTAAAAAAAATACATACATTTTATTGAAACATTATTATTATTATTATTTAATTTTAGGAAGACCAACGGTTATCTTACATAACATAAACTTAAATAAAAACGGCGAGCCAAGTATAGGTCCTCACCGGTAGACACACATTAAGTTAACTAAAGAGCTATACATTATAACTATATAAATTATATATGACAAAACATATTTGAAGTACTGTTTTCGCACGAATTCCAAAATAAAATGCAATTTTGAGTTACTCCGAAAAGGAAAAAGAAAAAATAGCTTGAGGGCGTCCTCAAGCTATTTTTTCTCAAATAATAGTGTTGTAGCAATTAATCGCCGAATTTCATCGAGTCACTTGGATTTGTCGGAAAAAATATTGACTTATGTAGATGTTTTATTGATGAACATACTTATGCATACTAAATTCTCGTAATAAACCATTTATGAATATTACAAAATGAAAATCAAAATAATTGGATACAATTCATCGGAATGTGGGACAATTTCACGAAAATAAGAGGAATTGCTACGGAATTGCAAGGGATTCTGCAATTTCATTTACAGAATTTCTTGTTAACTAACTGAACTGCACGATTTGGCCTCCTGAACAACAATGAACCGAAAAATAATCTAAACAAACACAAACTTTTAAAATTTTGAATCGATTTCTCGTGAAAAATCGTATAATGTGATTACCGATATGATTAGTCCACATCCCTATTTGCGGCATGATAACAAGCGTCAAATTTGGCCTCTTATTTAACGACTATAGTCTTCACAGTACAAAAAAAACACTTGAAAGTAAGTCCTACAGATACGATTGTCGTTACCGTACTCCTGTATCAGTACCTCTACAGTAAACTTGTAGGAACAGTTGTCGCGTATAATATTTGTATTGTTAATGTTACTTCTTGTGACCACTGCAGGTGCTGTGCGCTGTTGTACAAAATTGTAAAATATTTTACGCGGCTGCTAGACGAATCATAGACGAATCTCAAAGTATACGTGTCGTAGAATTGGTCTAGACTAGTGTTGGGTCATGGAAAAAAATTCATTTTGAAAAAATTCGTATAATTGTCTACATTTGACAGTGACTCCTGCTAAAACTTGAAGATACTAAACGCTTATTATGAGACTGAAAATAAGCCAAGCAATAGATATAGTGACAAGTGTACCTCGAGCTGCGTGAAATAGTTGATGGCGACGAGCAGTGCAGCCAGGTCCCGCGGCGTGTACCCAAGCGGCCCCGGGCTGAGCTGCGTCACAAAGGATGACTCGACGCCGCCCACGCCCAGCACGAAGCCGCCTCCCCAGCCCGACATCAGCTCGGCGTCGAAAGTGATGCGTGGACTGGCGATATTTGATAGTGATACCATACACGTAAACTCATCACTTAGTTTCTTATTTATCAATAGTAATTTTTTTTATGTTTAAATCCTATTGAGAATAAAGTGGTTAAAAACTGCTCAAGACCGGGAAAGATGGCATAAACTGAAGGAAGCCTACAAGGTTAAAGAAGAATATTTTTCTTCATTTTTTATTTCTTCTAGTTAAATTATGTAAAATCAACTTCATTGATGTTCTGGTTTTAGTGTAAATTTATTATTTAAGATACAAAAGAACACAGGCGCTCATGTCACAGGTTAACCTATTTTCAGAGTTCAACATGTGCTGTAATAAAAAAAATTAAAATAAATACGTAATATTATTTACAAATTACTCGAAGTTCGATTGAGAATATACGTTCTCATAATAATTTATAGATGATGATTATGAAGCTCGAGTTAGCACGCTTCGTGCGTATTTTTTATGTCAACGTAGGTCAATTATAACAAAATATGGGTTCGATCCAAGTCTATGGTAGATCGATTCGATCCAAGTCACACATATGTATACATGCCGCGGGAAGGTAAGCGATTCTTTGTAACGATACATGAAATATTCAATTTCATTTCAAGTATGTAACGTAAAAACTAAAACTATAGTCTCGGGAATTTCTGTAGTTACCGCATTGACCTACCACCGTCTCCAATTTAGTTTTGTACGTTTAATTCCCTAAGATGGGGATGACACAATCCCTTCGCGCAATTCCAACGCACGTGTGCCGAAATGTAACCGGTTATTATTATGTCACGTGTTTTGGGTGGGTTTGTTTAAATAATCATCATCACCATCAACCCTTTTATACGTCCCACTGCTGGGCACGGGTCTCTTCTCAGGCGTTGTCCGCATCCCTGGCCTAATGCAGGTTGGGAACTTGACACGTTTTCCAAGGGTTGTGAACCTGTTTCGACGTGCAAGTTTCATCACGACGTTTTGCTACACCGAAAAGTTCATGGTAAATTTGAAATTAAATTCTTTACATCGTCAAAAAAAAAAATTTAAATGTTTATTGCTGTCAAGGGTATTAATGATATTTACAATTGGTATTGACCAACCAACCAATCTAGTTATGAGCTCTGTGTAATCGCTTCACAATGCCAGCGTTAGATGTGTGTCATACAGGCCATACATCTGTGCATACATGCCGAACTGCCACGCAGAGGTCCCAGGTTCGATTCCCGGGTCGAGAGAAATATATCTATGGCCTACATTTATTTCTCTCGTCAGTTTGGGTGTAATTTGTGGTTGTCTATGTGTGTGTCCATGGCACCTGCGACACAGGGTTTCCCTGGTGTACGGGGCTATGTTGAGCACACATGCGTTATTATTATTATTATAGTCTAAATAATGTGCTTTGTTACACGATAGGATGTACTTTTATCTCAATCATATAAAATCCTAAAAACAGGCTAAAATAAAAGTGTACAACAAATAATTTAAGAATAAAATATCTAACTTTGCACATCATTTTTATATGGACATACTTCTCTATAAATACCACAGATAACGTGCTAAATTTTGATTTTCAACTAAAGCGCTATAGTTATTATATTCATCCCAACATTTATCCCAAAATTTGCAAATTGTCCAATCGGGCGCTTGTCGACGTCGCATTTGTGTCAAATTTTCTCCGCCTGTTCTTATTTTAATTATATTAATGCCCCCCCCACACCACACCTCCTAAAATCTAGGCTCGCGTTAAACTACCTCGACTTAAATTAACATTTTTTTAAGATACTTAGTGATCGGACGAACATGTCGTACGCCTGATAGTAAACGACACGCCTGTCCATAACAGTGCCACTCTGAGCTTTGCGCCCATCACCCTGAGACATAAGTTGAAAAGTCCCATGTGCTTGTAATTTCACCAACACCCGTACCCTTCAAAACTGGAACGCAGCAATGCTGACATTACTGCTTTGCGGCAGAAATAGGCAAGGTGGCAGTACTTCCCTGGATGAATACTTTCACAAATACGATTCGGTACAGTCAAGGTCAACCCAAGGAGTATACAACTTAAAGAAGACCAGTGGAACGGAAGTATTACAGGATGACAAATGCAACAAAACTCAGACAAGGTGTAGAAACTTACGCAGGCGGTACTCCCTGGTTCTTCGGCGCGAACTGCTTCCAGGGTTCTGTGGCCAGCTTGTGCTGTTCCAGGTTTGCTGCCATGTGGAGCCATAAGTTATTTGTGAGTTTCTTGTAAGCTGCCTTCGCGTCGGCTATTACCGCCTCTGTTTTCGCACCGCCTGTTTGTTTAAGAAATAACCTTGGTATTTATCTAAATATCAATTTAATAACATAGAAGGATTTTTCTTAGTCCTCGATCTTTGTATTAATAATAATAACCAACTAGTGGAGTAATTTCACAAAAAATAATTAAATATCATACGTAGTAAAACATCGTGATATTCAATAAACTTTCTATTACAATTATTAAAATGGCATCTCTAGTCAGCCGCTGGTAGTTGTAAAGGTACCTGGCGGAGTGAAGAAAAACTTTCAACAATTTCTCACAGATGGCGCTACGGCAAAAAGTAAATAAAAAAAGCAACAACTACATTCTTAAGGTCCGGTTCGTTCCGTAGCTTCGTTGGGAGAGCATCAGCCACGGTATGCTGAAGGCGCTGCTTCGAATCCAGCCGGATCGAAGGAATTTTTCTTAGTGCTCGATCTTTGTATTAATAATTATAACAACATAGAAGATACTTTTGAGGTGCATATTTAAAAAATACATTCATAAAAATTACTGACTTTGACTGAAGCTGCCAAGACACTTTTTTTTTGTAATATCAAGTGACGGGACGAACTAGTAGTCGTGCGCTGATGGTAAGCCACACGGACGTGTTCATAACAATTACAACGCCAATCAGAGCTTTAAATCGCAAAAAACTGAAGGCACTGAGGGCAAAAAACAGTGGCAAGTGGTGAGTTGACAAGTGCCATATGCCTGTAATTTCGCCAGCACCCTTACCGTTCAAAACCGGAACACAGTAATGCTGACATTATGGCTTGACGGCAGAAATAGGTAAGGTGCTAGTACTTCCTTGGACGAACTTTTTCACAAGGAGCTCTACTGTGACTAAACATTTCTATTTAGAAGTTAATCATAAGAAGAGTAATTGTACGCAACTGTACCGTGGACTCAATAAGCCTCAATTTACACGGAACGGAATGGATGTGATTTTTTATAACGAAATTATACATAGTATAATGAACTTTGTCAATAGTGTAACGTACAAGCTAGATACGATACGGTAGCTGCGAGAATTCTCGAGACTGAGCGAGAATTATCCGGAAAACGCGCGACCTGTTTTTTTTTCTCGTATCTAGTTTGTATGTTACGCAATGGACACATTGTGCTATGGTTCTTTATGAAAAATTGCTTCCCTTCCGTAGCAATGTAAACTCAGTGTAAATAACAATAATACAATAAGTTATAAGTTCACCAGCATTTAAATCTTCGATAATCTCCTTCAGGAAGTTTTGCTGCCTCAACACAAAGGCCCAATGCTGGTTGCTGTCTTTCGTGTACACGGAATCGCGAAGCGTGTCGTATACTATTTTGTGGCCATTCCTGCGGATCTATAGCATTCTATTGTTATTACCATCATTACAAATTATATGTTTACTAGACTGTAATAAAACAAACACACTCCAGAAAAGACAAACTGTTTTTTGAAGTAATGCAAACATTTTCGAGCATGTTTGAGAAAATTGTATATACCTGCGAAACTTCGTTGATCAGCCTCTGTGCGAAAACGAGCAGTCTTTCTTTGTTGAACTCAGCCTTGAAAAGAACCTCGTAGAGATAGTTCACCACTTTCTCGTAGTCCGTGGGTTCGCACTGCGATGAAAAGAAAAATGTTACCTAATTGTTTTTGGAGCTGTGTCTCTGGGTGAAATTTAGAAAAACAATCTGTTCCAAAAGTTTTGAAAATGCGCTTCCTCAATAAAATTTTGACGTTTTTTCGTTTTTTCCAGCTATTTACTTTTTTTTATAATACAAGTGACGGGGCGAACAAGTCGTGCGCGTGATGGTAAGCGACACGCCTATCCAGTTGCAGCGCTATTCACGAGTTTTAAATCGCAAAGATCTGATAGGCATTGCGCCCGTCACCCAGAAACATAAGCTGGTAAGCCCCATGTGTCTGTAATTTCGCCAGTACCCTTACCCTTCAAAACCGGAGCACTGTAATTACCGCTTGGCGGCAGAAATAGATAAGACGGCAGTACGTCTCTGGACGAACTCTTTCACAAGGAGCTCTACTGTTACCAATACCATCAACATAACTGATTATACTTCCCACTACTGAGCACGGGTTTCCTCTAAGGAGAAGGTTTAGGCCATGATCACAACAAGACTGGGGATTTCACACGTTTTCTTGGACATGCAGGTGTCATTAAGATGTTTTCATTCACCGTTAGCGAAAGGGGTTGTTACTGAACACTCGCAAATGGACGTGTAATTTAGAAATGAAAGTTACAGGTCGTCATAGGGATCCAACTGAGAAACCACCGCTCTACAGAGAGCACAGGAGCACAGGCTCCTACATTATTAAGTACTAGTAATAATATACTTACTCTCGCCTCGATATGAATCAAATACTCAAAGAAACCAACGGTGAAGTTGCCCGACTTTCCAACGCCTATACTGTTCCTGAATCCAACGATCAGCTGTTCCATGGTAGATATAACTTCTTCGTGGGGGACTAGAGTGTTGCCACGCCACACAGGGCACTCGGCGAGGCCGTTCATTTGCAGCGGCAGCCATTTGCGAGTCTTTTCGTCTATGCCCGTTGTGTCTAGCATTAAATTCATCTGCAAAGTGAAAATACATGCCGAAATTGTCCTTGAAAATTTTAATAGTGTCTAAAACTTGAAATATGTTTGAAACGAACATTTTTAATATTAATTATCAAACTAGCTGATGGCCATCATAACCTACATGTTGAACCCACTATTTTTGAATTTAATTCTACCAAGGAACAGAATGTATGCTCAAGAGAGCAAAATCCCATCTATTCGACTTTTTTCGATAACATACCTTAATTTGTGAAGAAACAGTGCAATTACAGACAGACTTAACACGTTATAAAGTATATAGGACTGTTACAATCCTGCCAATTATTACAATTTCTGCAAAGGAGTCGTAGTATTAGTGACCAAATGATTTTAATAAAAATAGCATGTGAAAGCCCTCTCAAGTCTTTGAGAAATAATTTTAATCCCGGCCGGTCCTAATTACAGGCAAAACGAGTTATGTGGCTTGCAAGTAAAAATATTAACATTCTATGTAATATTTTTGATCTGGATATTTTCAATACGAGTGGGATTCCAGCAAGGAGAGCACTGAGTGGGCACTTCTTTGACTCATAGTGAGGCTTACAACTGCGGTGTCTTGTTATGTAATAATTAGTTGAATTGTGCACCCAGATTCCTTATTATATTTCTATTTGTGAGGATCTGTAATTGGCTCTCAGTTGTTATTACTATCATTTAATTTAGTTTTAAGCTGTTTGTCTTCCTTTTAGATGAATAAATAAATAATTGATTAGTACAATACAAAACAGATTCTTACTCAATGTACACAACAGAAAAAACCAAAAGTAATTAATTGTACTGCTCATGTCTGTAAAATCATTTTCCATCAGGTGGATCGTTAGACTATTCGATATATATAGGAATTGAAACAATTTTTCCGGATTTAAATCGCGTATATTTGTTTTTTCCTTCCCTCTTCAAACTTTGCTGCCAACCGTGATCATGACCTGTAAAGGGCTCGAAACGTTTGAAAAAACAAATATACGTGATGATTTAAATCCGGAAAAATACTTTCTTTTCTATGTGTAACAATCGCGAAAACCTAAGAACTCGATATTCGGCATATAGTAATACAAATACATAACGATTATTATTACTCCAGTCGATTACTTCGTTTAAATTTGCCATATCCAGTAACCTTATTTAGACGAGACAGAAATACTTACGTAAACGAAATTCGTCTTCAAACTATGGACCCTAGCGTAGATGGGGACATCTTTAAGATCGAAATGCGGGCATGGCGTCCCGTCTGTGCTCCATGTGTTGATCTCATAGCACTTGAGACTGGTCGCCGAAGGTACTGGTACAGAACCTATCGTACCTGGTGGGGGTGGGCGCTGGAAAGCAAACACTAATTAGAAATAACATCATCAATGTTAACCCATTGTAAGTATCACTACTGCTGGGCACGGGTATGTTCTGAAGGAGACGGTTTAAGCCAGTTAGGGACTTCCCACATTTCCGTCTTCGACATTCAGGTTTCATCATGAAATTTCATTCCGTCGTTAGCTAGAGGTACTACTGCATAACTCAGGGCTCGGGTGCGTGTAAATTAAATGTACATAGACTCAGTCCGCCCGTACCATTCACAGTGCTTGGTCTAGCGTCTATTTCCAACTTCGACGAGTGGATCAAACTGTTTTAGTCGCATCGGCACTGTTAAAGGGAAGACGCCAAGACCAGCACGTCCGCACCGGCAGCCGCGCCCGTTTGCACTCTGAATGAGTGGATTCGGACCGTCACCCTCTCATTTGAGAAGCCACTGTTTTCCCACCGAGCTACCACCACTCTAAACACGGTGAAGTTCTATTTCAAATGGAACTTAACCATGTTTGTAGACGCCTAGACTGAATATTAGTTTACAAATTGAATTTATTTATTTCCAAAACTTAATTTATTATTACGCGTTACGAACCCAATGTAATAGAACAGCAAAAAAAATCACAGATAACTTAAGATGTAAAGCGCTGTCTTTCTCACTCAGAGAACAATGGAACAGATCCATCTTTTACGATACATAGGGCGCACTATAAGTTTCCGGAACTGGCCATTTACATAAACAATATTTAAAAAGTAATTACAACATTTGAAAATGGAACTCTTTGGCTGTAGAATACAGTTTGTTTCATCTGACTGTCACTTGTTATTACATTGTGGCGTCATTTTACAAATTGGTTATCTACATCACCATGGATTTAACTCGTGAAAATTTTCATAGCATGATTTTCTACGACTATAAGTGTAATTCAACAGCTCAGCGGAGCTTAGCTCGGCTTCAAACTGCTTTTAGCTATGAAGCACCATGCAAGACGACTATTTATATCTGGTTTGCAAAATTCAAACGTGGTGGTGTGAATCTCAGAGTCGAATTTCGTGATGGTCGCTAGTCCACTGCTGTGAATCGATGCTGTGCGATGTATGATCAAAACAGACAGGCATGTGACATACCAAGAGATTCGGGCATCTTTAGGCATAGGCATGAGTCAAATACAATCAATACTACACAAACATTTGGGTGTGAGAAAGCTGTGCTCTCGGTGGATCCCACACAATTTGTCTGAGGCTCAAAAAACGGATCTCGTCACTTGGTAAGCAATGACATGCTTACCAGATTCAACGAAGGGGCGTCACGACGATTATACGATATTATACGATACGATCCCAAAACAAAGCAGCAATCGAGCGTATGGGTCTTTTGAGATGAGCCGAAATCAACCAAAGTGGCGCGCGTGCAAAGTGCCTCTAAGCGGATGATTGCTTCTTTTCTCAATAAAACTGGACACGTGGCTAGTGTTGCTTTGGAGAATCGTTGTATGGTGAATAGTGACTGGTACACGACCATTAGTTTGCCGGAAGTGATTAACAAACTCCGTAAAAATAACCGTAAACGCCGTATTATCTTGCACCACCATAATGCCAGTTGTCACACGGCCAGACAAACAAATGAATTTTTGAAGGTGAACAACGTTGACCTTATGAGCCATCCCGCGTACAGTCCCGATCTGGCACCTTGTGACTCTTATTTATTTCCAAAAATTAAGAACCAGTTGCACGGTTAACGATTTTCATCACCTGAAGAGGCAGCTGAAGAGGATGAAAAATATGTTTCAGAAATTGTCACGGAGGAGTGGCATAAATGTTTTCAAAATTGGTTCATTCGTATGAAAAAGTGCATTCACGCTAACGGAGAATATTTTGAGAAACAATAAATTCATTTGTATTTCTATTTCTATTTCTGACCATTTATAGTATTTTTTTCTTATTCATTCCGGAAACTTATAGTGCGCCTCACGTATTTCGTTCAGGGTGCGTGAAATGCGCGTCAGCGGACGTTCCGTAGGTTCATACCTACAAGGAACACAAATGTAATACTTATACGACCTCGGTGG